CATACAAACACACCCGAATCTGTTTTCTTGACGTTCCTTATAATCAAAGAGCCATCTCTCACTTCATATTTGCCAGCAGGAAGAAGGGTGTTGTCTTTTCTCCAACTGATTACAGGCTGAGGGTCACCTTTAGCGGTACAGTTCAGCATTACGGTTGAGCCAGGAGGGGCAATATACGACGATGGAGGCTTGACAACAAACACAGGCGGATCGATAACGTATACCACAACTGATCCTTCAGCAGAACCAAGAAGATTTTCAACTTTGCAAGCATATCTCCCCGAATCTTCTTTCTTCGCTTTAATTATAGTCATAACTCCATCTTTCAGAACAAAACGCGGAYCCAGCAGGCTTTTCAACCCAGAATTCCACTGATTACCAATAACCTTAGACCACGTGACTTTTGGCTTAGGGAATCCAGTCGCGTGACACGTAGGTAGATTAATGTTATCACCAATCTTTTCGTAGATTGTTCGTGTGTTTAACGTCAGCCGTGGGCGGAAGTTCACTTGAAGTTTTGCCGTTGCTTTTGTGYTGCCGAGAAGATTAGACGCCTTACACTGATAGATTCCTGAGTCATTGGCAGTCACGTGTTTTATTTCAAGTTTTTCATTGCATCCAGCTTCTGCTTGTTTGTGTTGTAACGTAGCATTGTTTTTACTCCACACGACGGTGGGTCGAGGATAACCACTGGAACAACATTGGAATATGGCGGACTGGCTTTCATTGACGATGAGATGTGTTGGCGAAATGATTGCTGTTGGACGAACTGAGAATGGAACAGGATCTCCCTTTGGCCCTTTCGGTCCTTGTGGTCCAGGCATTCCTCTGGGACCAGGAAGCCCAATCTTTCCCGGAAAACCACGTGGTCCTTGCCGTCCAGTTTTACCCATAAGTCCTTGTGGACCGGGAGGTCCCCGTATCTTATGCTTGGCAGCCTGAATAGCTTTACTGACCTCTTGATGGATTTTCTTTGTTAATATATTAACCAGTAACATATCAGTGTTATTGACGCCAGTTGTAGCATCTCTTACTTTTCTTCTCAAAAGTTCTTCATTTTCCTTTACTTCTTGATTAGTAACGGTTTCCTTTGAATGGTGATCTTTCCCGTGTTGATCTATGTCGTGTTTTGAAGTCATCTTGTCTTGCACCTTCATGTCTCTTGAACACAGCTCGTTTAGCATCAATTCTGTTCGTATGAACACACCACAGCACAACAACAAAGTGACGATCGACAAAGCGATGGCAATCTTGGACACCAAGCAGGAATGGACGATTTTATCTGCCATCCTAGCAAATAGGACAACGCCAAAACGAACTGGAAGACGATTAAATTGACCCTATATGAGATATCTTTATTGGTAGTGCTCATTCGTATCTCAGCATGCAATATGCTCTCCGAGTATCGTATACTCTATGACGTCATAGAGGTCAATATTTCATGTTATTGCAGCTATATTCCTGCAGATTTAATGACCAAGATTCACGACATGAGAGAAATATAGAGAATACTACATGAGGCGCGCAGGGATTGAGTTTAAATCTTCGAGTCTTGAAAAAATCTCTCACGAGTAAGAGAATTGGAAGGTAGCGAACACGAGAAGATGAAATCCAAAATATTCTGAGCTGCTGCAAAACTTTGCAAAGGTTAAAATTCTGCAGTCTTGTGCCACTTAAGAGAATCCGGAAATCAGTAAAAAAAGCTTTGGAATCCGAAATCCAAATCCTGCAAAAAATGTTAAATCCAAGAAAAAACATCCCGAATCTAAAAAGAAAACTTCTTTTGGAATTCAGAATCTCAAGGATTGGTGTTAGGAATGCAATGTTTCGGAATCCAGCGGCTCCCCTAGTTCTCTGGATTCTCTTATATGGGGCTAAAACTTGCCAAAGAAACAACAAAAGTCATACACATCAAATTTTATGGATCTGAAATTTAACTAATATACCGTAAATGATGTAATAAACGCCCTCTTTCTAATGAACGCCTCCTATCTAATTACCCCCCCCCCCCCCCCTTTGCTTACAAGTTTGTATTAAACGCCCCTTTCTAACAAACGCCCCCTCCCCTCCGTGCCACTGATCCATCACTAGAAACAAACGACTTAGGAATGACGGTAACATAAATCAATATAATTGTCTTCTTGCTTCATTACCACTGGTAAGTAACGTTTTGTTCCATTTCTAGTTCAAAATGAGGATAGCGTTCTTTAATTCTACTGATTTCATTGCTTACTAACAATAACATAAACATAACATTGTTACAGTTTTATTTTAGAATAAACGCCTCTCTCTAATAAACGCCTTCCGTCTATTAAATAAAGGGGCAGTGTCACGGTTTTGCGCATGCACGGCGGTTTATATTTAAAACTGACAGGCTATTGTATTTCAGCCAATCAGGACAAACCAAAACATTCACGCGTACACGTGCGATTTTTAGTTCGAAAGATCGATAAAATATATAGACGGTGAAATCTTTATAGATATTTGCAGTTTTAGAACTTTATTTTTCGGTGGAGTAATACTGAATGGAATCTTCAACAGAAAGTTCAGATAATCAGGTATGTTTTATTGTGTTTCGTGCTCTCATTTGTAATTTTTTGAGCATTTTATCCGGGTCGAAGTCGACCGGCGGACATGTTTACATTTTGCATTTCTAACATCTGATCAAGATTTTTAATACCTGTAATCATTTATG